GCCGAGTCGATATAGCCATGTCCGTCTGTCCGTCTGACTGTTTCTATGCGAACTAGTCTCTCAGTTTTAAAACTATCTTAATGAAACTTTGCAGAAGTCCCTCTCGAAAATTAAGATTTCGTATGATATCAAGATATCTTGACCAAACTCGGCATTTATTAGTTTTACTATACTCCTCATATATGTGCAAAATCCTATTAAGATCGGACCACTATATCATATAGCTGCCAAAGGAACGATCGGTAGAGAATTAGGTTGTTGTATGGAAAATGTTTTTTTCATTCAAGATATTTTGATTAAACACTGCATTTAAGTCCACTATTCTCCCTTCATTTTTGCAAAATCTTATTTACACCGGACTACTATATCATATATCTGTCATAGGAACGATCGGTCAAAAGTAGAACTTTGATCAAAATCCCTTTTTTGTTTATCAAGATATCTTGACCAAACTAGGCATTAACTATTTTCCCTGTGCTTCTCAGATACGGGCAAAGCACTATAAGCGTTATGAAAAGGTTGGGTTTGCAAGGGTATTAGATCTGCGGCGTGCCGAAGATAGCCTTTCTTTCATGTTTTTTCTTCTTGTAAATAGGCTTTACAACAAAGCCAATTTATTGAATATATTGTGATAATAAGCGAGCGATTACTGTAATTGTTTCTGTTTCAAGAGAAAAAATTTGTAATAAATAAAATTATGATGTTAGTCATTTATTTGTCATAAGCTCAAATAATTATGATTGGACTTATGCTGATTCAGGCAAAAGCCAGTCAGCTGGTACTAGTCGAACTGCCTGACTAGGAGTTATCCTGTAACCTTCCTGCATAGCATACACCTACTAACATCTTTCTACACTAAAAATGCCCTTAATTTAATAAAAGGCAATAGATGCTGGAACTGTAAAGAATATTCGTATAAATAAATTTTTTAAGTTTCTATCACTGAAAAGATGAAAATCGATATATCGATTTTGGAAAAATTAAAGGTGTCGTTTAATTTGCTGATTTACATTTCTGGAGTCGCCTCTTCGAGTCTCTAAAATCTTTACGGACTGCCATGCATAACTATCTGTTTCTGATCCAAAGTGTATATGTTTTATTACTGCAAATACTTTATTATATATTCCATTATACACCCTCGTGCTCAATTTCTGTGGTATAGGCATTTATTTACTTTTATAATTTATGTTTGTCGCTTTTTTAGAAATTGAAAACTTCAGTTGTTTGTTGACTTTTGCGTGTGCAAGTCACGTAATTTCAGTGTAGTAAAATCTATAAAAAAATACCAGCTTAACTGAGAATGTGGCTTTGTCTGAAAAGCATACTGCTCGCTGTGATTCTATGCACAGCGCTGGGCTTATGTCAGGCAAATGTTTGCATCGAAAGTGCTTATGAGGTGCGATTTATATACATGAAAATATATATTCAATTAAACGCTTAATATCTGAGTCTTATCCTATCCTTAGAGCGACACCTCCGATCTTGTCTACAAGTGCCGTGAAGGTTGCGTGGGAACTGTGCCCAACTGTCTGCCCGTCTGCGATAATGGCTGTCCAGCGAATAGCAATTGCACTTCACCCAATGTCTGTGTATGCAATACGGGGTATATTATAAACGAATTGAATTCCGATGTTGTGCCCGGCTTAAAGAGTTGTAAATCCGCCTGTGAACCCGATTGTCCTGCGCATAGTCATTGTGCTGGCTATAACAAATGTGTATGCAATGAGGGATATGTTGAAAATGCAACCAATCCCGATGTTGTGCCCAGTTTGCAGAGCTGTAAGCCAACATGCGTAACAGATTGTCCCAGTCACAGTTATTGCGCCTCACCAAATATTTGCCAATGCAATAAGGGATATACGCCAGATCAAATTAATAACAATATTGTGCCCACTCTGAAGGGTTGCAAGGAGCAGTCAGAAGAAAAAATCACGGGTCTGCAGATTGCCCTATATATTCTTGTGGTATGCATTTTGGTATTCCCCATAATGGCTGGCATTTCAATGCTTGTGATTTGGATAAAATCAAGAAAACGGAATTTTCCGATGCGAACTAAAGAGGATTTGTGGCGCACTTCATTTAGATCGTATTCAGAATGTGAAACTAAGTAAAAGGGTTTATTAACTTTTAATCAACTAAAATTTTGTCTCTTTTGATTCAAATAAATCTATTAAATATGAAAAGTTGTATATACCATTTTTCGTAGAATTCTTTCTTAATGTATTTATCAAGATATAACCTATTAACATATGCATATTATGTATAAAATATATCAACATATATAAACATCAATATTCTCCAGATTTTGGTAATTTTGGTTGTAAAACATTCTATTAGTTTGAAAATGCATTAGTTTTGATTTCTTCGTTCGATTTTCTACCTATGCTGGACAAAAAAATATATATGCACTAATATAATGCTTTAATAAATTTGATGTTTATTATTATTTTGGTTGGTGGTATACCACTTGATAGCTGATTCATGTGCTGGCTTAACTATATGCACTGTTTATACCCTGATTAATGTATGAGAATTCAAAATCTATAATTTCAATTTCCCTTGTAAATGTAAAAAAGTAAGAGTTTAGAGAACTTTTTTAAATGAATTATGCGTACAATTATAGGACGCCCATCCATATTCCACGTTATAATCTCTTTGCGTTTTTTTGTTGTCTTTTGTGCTTTTTTTGTCAATAATTAAAGAAAAAAAATCTTTTGTGAAAAGATGAAAGATATTCGTGTAATAATTGTGGCCTTGTTGAATAATAATATATTATAAGTGTTATATCTGGAAATGCAAGAAATTTTTAATAGAAATACATGATGCATTATTTACACTGAAATAAATATAATGCCATATTTGATTTATATTATCAGAAGGGCTTCTGAGTTTCTGTACCTTGGTAATCAATATGATAGGGTTTTCATACAATATGTTTCTTGTTTTTTCTCTAAATTGTTAAATATTACAATTTTGTCTTATAATTTTTCTACAAAACCCAAAAAATTTTTACATACATACATACCTATTCATTTATGCACTTATTCTTGTTCTTTATATTTGATTTAAATATATTTGAGAAATCAAAAAATTTCCATTTTTCTTGTAGAGAATAAATATTTGTGGAAAAAATAAAATTTGCATTATTAAATGCACTCAGATCAATTGTAAAACCAAGCCTAAGCACATGTTAAAGTAAATCCCCAAAAATGAATGAATAGCTGCGTTGAAAATATTTTGATTAAAATATGCAATTTGCTCCAACAAAAACCCTATCGCTCTCTCCCTCTCTCTTTGACCCCCACAACCTCTGCCTTTCTCCGTGCGACTTATTTGTATTTGTTGTATGTATTTTGGGCTTTACCTGCATTTCAGGCTTCAGTTGAACGTATTTGCGGCTTCAGTTTGAAAGCCGCAGGTTGAAATGCACTTAGCCAGCACTGGCAGGCAACGTGCCACAGGCAAACAGCAGGGCAGCAGGACAATCAACAGGGGTCGGCCGTCTGTCTGTCTGACAGACAGACAGAAGCGATTATGACTATACAAATTTGCTTGTTGCCGCAATTGTAATGTTTATTAATTTGGATTTTGAGCCAGTGCCAAGTTTTGCCAGTCGCAGGACATGGACCGGCAGACCACTGGCAAAAACTACGCCATAAACTAATTGAAATTGATATAAATGGGCCAGGCAAAAACAAGAGCTTTACTAAAGTCCGGAATGCTGCATGAAGTGTGCCTTGTGGCTGCGGACCATAAGCCGGCAAATACATATGGCCTGGCGAAACATGTACATTTATGTGGTTTTTACAGGACGTAAAGGAAATTGAATAATAATAATAGTTTATCGATATTTCTTTGAGAGTTAAGCTTAAGCACTAGCTCATATAATTGGCATTAAGTGATTTAAGCAATTGAATTTGTGGACTTTATTTCGCTTAAATCAGGTTTATTATCGCTCAAAAATAATCGTTTATTTCGGTGTCATATCGTGGCGTATCGATAGTTTTTAAAAGAGGTTCTAGTCGGAAGCTCCTTATTAGGGGATACCTCGAACCTTCTTATTCCAACACCAAATTCACTAGAAACAAGGAGAAATAAAAAAACAAAATAAGTTCGAACTCGCAACTAACCGCAGTACTTGCCGCTGTCTCTACTCAACAGCCACACCAGCCGCAAAAATAAAAGTTTTCCCGGTAGATCTCGAACTCGGGAGAGACAACACCCCTTGCTACCGCCTCCACTTAGCAGCCAAACCATTGAGTCATCGTGAGAAAAAAAAAAAACAATTAAAATAGAAGCACACAAAACAATACAATCGCAGTTATATTGCTGTTGATGAATGCGAAGCAGACGAGCATGAATGTGTGTGTGTGTACATGCATACAGATATTCTTCGAATTTGCGCTGGTGCCGCAAAAACGTGTTTCTTAACCGATCTTCATGATGCTGTTGCATACAACTGCTTACTCGAAAGAGTGTGCCTGTACACAAGCAGCCATTCGCGAAAATTAATTATTTTTATTAATTTCTGGTTTTTTCTTCAAATTCTTCAACAAGCCTACGATGAATTGCCCTTGCAGAAATACGACTTGGTTTTTTTATTTTAAGCAAAATAGGTCCACACAGTAATAAAAAAAATTAAAATATAAATATTTCTTTTAGGTCATTTAATTATTTATTTAATAAATAAAGATCAGAGTCTTCTCGTGCGCTGAGCGAGCTTCGGCTTCATACTGAACGTTCGGCTTTCGAACGCCGGCTGGCGTTCGGCTGCCACTCTCAGCAGTGTTTCTCTGTCTGGGCGCACTAACATGGTCGCAGGTTCCCTCGTTGAAATTTATCGTGTTCAGATAAAAGAGTATGGAATATATATGCTTTTTATGGTTAGTGGTTGCATTGAAATTTATGGATTATTGGTTGATTGAGAATATTTGGATTTGTTTAAGATATATTTAAAAGTTAAAAGTATGTGATTTTATATTTTATTTAAGAAATTTGAATTTTTGGTGTATTAAAATAATGTTATACTATTATTATCGCTTAGTGTGAAATAATTGCTGAAGAGATTGATAATTTACATAGTTGCTTTATGCGTAGACAAAATTGTCGGGATTTAGTTTTTGGCTCGACTCTTCAATGGACTCCAGCCAGTGCATCAATTCCTTGGGTAAATCCGGTCGAAATGTGACTTCGGGAAATGCCTCCAACAATTCGAAGACATTGCATTCGGTGAAGCGATGTTTAGAGAGTGCGATTGCGTTTACAAATCCATCGGTTAGAGTCACAAATTGTTGTTCCAAATAGATGGCTCTTTCGTCCCACCAGATTAGTTTCGTCTGTATCTTGTATGGCTGGAATATGGATATAAAACGGCGATATCTCAGAGACGTTGCGCCCTGGACAATAGTGCCACCTCGCTCGCGCACCAGATCGTACAGATTGGTCAACATATAATAATGGACACTGGCAAAGTTCAGTTCGCGCAAGAATCGTGCGTTGTTCATGTGCCGCAAAAAGATATCCACATCCTGGGGCGTGCATATGCCATAGATGGTTGTTGTGTCCAGTACACTGTGCTTGCTCTGAAACAATCGCAGTGTAAGGACAGTAAATGCACAACGTATAAAATAATTGACATCCAAAAGTATGTATAAAATGAGCAGCAGCATGGACACTGGCATGCCGTAGGTTTCGCTCATTTTGCTGATGGCACGAAGCAAATCTGAACCCGATACACCCAGCTCAAACAAAAACTAAAAACTTATGACACATAATACGTTGCTATCAGTGTTCATTTTATTGACAGTTTGCAGCTCTGGCGCATACATATAATATACTTTTTTGCCTCTTTTTATTCCCTGAACTCAATGAAAATGGGTAAAAAGGGTATATTGTATTTGTGCAAATATATGTAACAGGCAAAAGGAAGCATCTCCGTCCCAATGAAGTATATATATTTTTGATTAGCAGCAAAAGCCGAGTCGATCTAGCCATGTCCGCCTGGCTGTCCGTCCATCCGTCCGTCTGTCCGTCTGTTCGTATGTATGAACGCAAGGATCTCAGAACCTATAAGAGCTAGAGACTTGAAATAATAGATTTAGGTGCTCCTAGTGCCTGCGCAGATCGAGTTTGTTTCCGATAATCGAGAATTTCCCCCGATTCCAAGTAATCTATAAAAATGGATATCGAAATCCTGTTTTTGAGCAATTTTGGTAAATAATAAGAGCTAGAGTCACCAAAGTTGAAATATAGCTTCAAGAATATATATATCCCCCGTAGTAGCGGGAAGACATAAATCTATATTTATTCTATTCATAGCAGTGCAATTGCGATTATATTGTGTTCTGTACTGCTATTTTAATTCGTTATTTTTTCACATTAAGACTAAATTTTTGATGTGGCTGTTGAATAGAGTTGGTAATCAGTAATGCATAATCTTGCTTGTTTATATACGGACTACTTGAACTACTCTGAGGTATATACGCCTAAATCATAAAATGTTTAATATTTATACATTATCGAAGAGCTGATCTGATTTTACTGTTTATGAAATCAAATATTTATTCTAGATACATAGTTGAAGTTAATTTTATTTTCATCGATAACTACTACTACTTCTATAAATATCCATTTCTTTCGACTTCTTTTGTACCCATGTAGAAGAAAACACCTCCGAGTCAATAATATATATATATTAAAGATAAGCATCAAACGCATAGTTGATATAGCCATGTCACTCTGTCCGAACACTATAGTTTATTCCCTGGGAATTTTATATTTATAACCCATGATGCACATAACCTATTAAAGAATGAATTTTCCAAAGTGTGGACTAGAGGATAGAGCAAGTATGAGTGAGGAGGTGAATACGTAATGTAATTAGAAGTGCAATCGGATTCTTTCTACAGAGCAGTTTAATTTATTTATTTTTTAATTCTGTATTAATTACTTTTATGATTTTTATTGTTTTTTTTTTTGCGTCATACAAGGCATTGTAAAGAAATCAACCGATGAGGGCAGCCGACCAATATACAATACACACACAGACTCATCCTCTCACACACATATGCACACAAACACACTCTCACACGCATGCACACAACTCATTCCACACTCATATCGTGCTGAAATTACGTATACGCCGTGCTGACCAATGCCAAACTTATGCAGGCAGCATGCTTATGGTCCAGATTGATTTGTTGTGGCACACTCGTATTGTTTACTTGTTGTTGTCAGTGCTCCATCCATTGACTGTTGCTCAATAATATTTTGCCACTGCAGCAGTTGCAAGCGACAGAATATTTTTGTGTGCGCGCTCAGTGAAAGATAATTCAATTTTCATGGCCAGCGAATACGAAATGCGTTTTTAAATTGCGCTGCAATTTGACAAGCAACAACAATTATAAGCTGGCCACGCCCACAGTTTGACTACGAAACGACAAATTTAATATGTAGCCCTTGATGCCGCCGTTTGTTTGTTTGCCTCAACTGCAGTTGCCAGAAAAAAAAGCACTTGGCCAAATGCCAGACTCAAAGTCGGGCAGCACATTTCTAGATAACTCCAGCGGGGTCGTGGGAAGAGGGCAAACCCCTTTTTACTTGCACATTTTATATGTCTGCAGAGCTGTGTCTGTGCTTGGCTATATGTCTGAACGGAAAGGCGTCATAGCCCGGGGTGCGCGGTGGGCTTTATCCTTTGCTCGTATTAAAATATTTTTGTGCATATTTCAGCTGCCAAAATTATTTCAATTTAGTTCCGCAAAATAAATTTGCCTTTGCCTGTTTATTTTCTTTTCTATATGTATGTTTTTTGTATTTATTTTTATTATTATTATTTGTAAAGTGTCTGCTTTTTGGCTACGTAATGAACATAAAGTGCCCAAAAATATTTACTCATGTTGGGCAATTTTTGCGACTGCATTCTGAAGTCGATTTAAGTCAAGTTTGTGGCAAATTTTTCCATGCAGCTTTGATTGGACTTAAATTTGGTCAACTTTTACGTGTGACTGAAACTGTTTAAGGAATCGGTTAATTATAATTATATAGATATTAAGAGTATATTTAGTTTTAAATTGTGTGCCAGATATTTTGTGCTCTCAACTGGTTCTATAAAAACAATTTCAATTGAATTATGCAAACACTGCTGCGGTGTTTTTTTTTTTTAATCTGATTTTTCTTTCTCAGTGGAAAATGCGGTTCAACGATTTTTTAACGAACTTATACGCTTTGTTCGACTTACTTCAAACTTAACCTTAAAGTAAGAACTTATTGAATGCATGTTTTAGCGATTTTAAAAATTCCACCTGTAACATCGGGTTGGCTTCAAGCTTATTTTCAGAGATCTTTTATTTGATACTCATTTTGTCACATCACCAGCAGTCGGATAATAAATGCGTGTCAAAATTAACGAAAGTTTAGTTTTCGGCTTCAATCTTTTCTTCACAATACTAGCATGGGCGGAAAACGTTGATTCCAACTTTTGGTCCCATGTTCGATGTACTTTAAGAAATTTTTCCAATAGAAGTGGAATGCAGGCAAGGCCGGGTAATGTCCGTTAGCACTATACATCCTTTAGTTTCAACTACTTGGATCTTTTAGTAGACCTATAATCCATGATCTTATCTTTTTTTTTATCGCTCATTGTTGTGGTCTTTTATTTTAAAGTGCGTATTCAATTTTGTGTTTAAAACTAGGTTACAGATTTTTTTTATAAAATTAACAATGAAATTCGTGCAATTCAAGTGGCTAGCGTAATATTTTTATTCAAAATTGTATTTATTTAATTAAATATATCGGTTGAACGATAAAGTCGGCATATCTGAACAATTATGTACATTTTCGTTCTCTCAACTTATTTAACTATTTCGCTTTTCTTTTCCACTTCTAAGTTTTTATTACCTCTCGCTAGTATTAAATTTTCTGTTGCTCATTTCTCCATTAGCTTTCAGTTTTATAGCTTCCGAGTTTTTTACACTCGTCTGTTTGCGCTTTCAATGAATTTTTTAATATGCGCATTGTCCCTTTATTTCGGCCAGTTGGCCTCTGCCCTGCCCTCTGGCACTCATCCTGGAGCTTCTGCATTCGGGTTTGTATGACGAAAACGTGTTGTTGTAACCTCTAATTGCAACATTGAGCCCTTGGCAAATCAAACAAGAAATATATATATGTTTAAAATGGGTTCCCTTTTCTTGCACAGCATCTTTGCTTTAGCTTTTCAATTTTAATAGAATTTTTGGTTTATTTACTGCAACAACAATAGGAAAAAAAGAGGAAAAACTCAGTGTGACACACAACTTGAATTGTTTTTTGATAGTAGTTTCAAACAAATTCGGTCATATTTGTTATGCGATTCTTAGTTTTGGGTTGGGCTACAAACTGTTTTTTTTTTTAAATGTTTCATTAGAAAAATGCGTCTTTAATTTGACTTATTAACCTGATGTCGAAAATATCTCTATATTTAAATAAAAAGAAAATAGTCGAGCGGCTTTAGCGTAATTTTATTTTTAGCTCATTTTTCCATAAGTGCTCTACTATTGCCTATCAATTGACTGGGTATCTATGAGTCGGGCTTATTTAAAGAAATTCACTTCAACTTCCGTTTTCCCATTTGCGCTTTTTCAATTCTTCTTTGACTCCTTGGAGCAACAAAAATTTCAATGTTTTCATTACAGGAAACACAGGACTGCGTTTAGTTTGTGTTTCCTTTTTCTGCAGTTAAGAGTGTGCATGTGTGTGTGTGCGTGTGTGTGCATGTGTGTGTGCTTATTTATTTGGTGTGCTGCAAAAATTCGGCATTGTGAACAATGAACGAGAAATGTGAATGTAAAACGAAACATTGACGTGGAATGGTCGATGATGGAGGGGTTTGAAGAGGGATTGGGCAAGGGGCCTGCAGCATGGCTAGCCCGGATGGATGACTGACTTTACCGTTATGCTGCATAGAGCCAAACTGTTGACCGACTGACGCTTTTCCGCCTGCCGCACGCTTTCTAATCCCTCCCCAAATGGGGCATATTGGATATGTTAGGGCTTATAAGGACTATGTATATATATAAATATATTTATGAAATAAATGCTAAGCTGGGCTCATTAAGTCGCTTTTGTTTTTACCTCTGACTTTTTATATGAAATGTAGTCAATTAGTTTTAAAGTGATTGTTTTGTTATTCAAGATATTGAATTCTAATTTGTAAAATACTTTCTATACTCTGCTCTCAAAATATGCTCGGGATGTTATGTATAGTATAGATCCTATGTACAACCAATTTTTATAGAAATACCTATTAATACTTTCCTGCACCTTTCTTTAATAACACCAACCCACTATCAAGCATCTTCTATTGAAATAATCGTCCAATATCGAGTATTAAAACCGTTTAAATAAAAGTCTGATGTTTTTTCTAACTGTTAGGGCATTATAGCGTCGGCAAGGTGAAGTTACACTGTTTCCTGTTGCGTTTAATTTCATTTTTGCTGGCCGCCTGCTGCAGGATTTTCAACTTTTTTTTCGTTCTACATTGGGTGTGTGGCCAGGCTTGATTTCGCTTTTGCTTTGCTTTTGGGTTTTGTTTTTCATTTTGTTGTTGCTGTTGCAATTCCTGTGCATTTTCAGGGCGTTGTTTTAATTGCTGCTGACAACGAAACTTTCAACGCAAAATCAGAGTCATGTTTCCAACGACTGTGTGAGACCATTTAAATTCATGTTAGCCAAAAAAAAAAAGAACGGAAAAAGGACTACGGATTCAATAATCGACGTAATTTT